TCCAATTCCTGTGAGTTAAGAACTTGTTTACTCCTGGTTTAGGACACAGTAAGAAAGCAGTTTTGTACTGGTTTGGTGACAGAACTGTACCCCTCAATAGCAGTGAAATTTCAGTAGTGGTCTTGCCTGAAGAAGTGGCTATCAGTAGTAGTGTGTGTTTTAAACTTTGCAAATGTAAAAAGGAACTGAAAAACTTTTGCGAAGTGTCAGGTTGTGTCTATCTTTGTTTTGTTTCATTTCCCAGGGCATACAAAATGTTAGGTTGGATGTAACTGCTTCTGTATGCAGTATTCTAGTTCTAGCTTGAAGAGATGTGGAAACTTGTACTGACTGCTCTTCGGGTGCTGTCAGGCTTTGCCACTGTTCATCTGAATTAACATATGGCTCTGCACTGTTTGGTTAATGATGAACACAGAATGAGAAAAGAGCTGTTTGAAAACGGCAAACAGCATGAAGGTACCTTTCTAGACTCCAAGTTTTAAGAATGCAAATGCATTTTTAAATGAATGTGTAACTTCTCTGTGGGAATACAAGCATTTGATGACCAAACAAAACATTCTATAGCAAAACTTTCTAATACTGGAGCAGTTTAAAGGAAACATACAGACAACATCCAATTCTGCAGAGGAATTTTGTGTATTACAGTGGCTAGGTAGATCAGTAATATTCATGTTGTCATTTGATGTAGCAGGGCAAATAAGCAAAACGACCATCATAATTCAGCAGAGTATGGAGTTTTGTAGTAAGTTGTGGACACTCTGGAACATAAATACTAGAACATCTGAGACATTTGGTTTTATTTTGCACTTTCACAGAAACCTATTGTCTTAGTTTCAGCTGAGATGGAGTTGTTTTACTTCACAGTATCTGGTATGGTGCTGTTGGTTTTTTTTCTCCCTGAAAACAAAAACCATGTTGATAACACACCAGTGTTTCCAGTTGTTGCTGAGCAGTGCTGTACAGAGCCAAGGACACTTCAGTTTTCTTGGTTTCTCCTACTGTCCTACAAATGAGGAGATGCACAAGGAGCTAGGAGACACAGGGGATCCAAGGAAACGAGAGGGAACCAGGACAGCTGACTTAAACTGGCCAAAGGGGTATTCCGTACCATACGATATCATGTGGAAGAAAAATTTTCAAAGGGATGGGAGTTCATCTCTTCCTTCTTCTGCTTGGGATCCTCCAGGCAGAGAAGATATTGATTGGCAGGTGTGAGCAATTGCTTGTGCATCACTTCTTATGCATTCACATATATATAGTCATTAACTATTACTCTTTTTCCTTTTTCTGTCTTACTAAACAGTTTTATCTCAACCTATGAGTTCTACTTTGTCTCTTTCTTGACTCTCTCCCCCACCCCACTGGGAAGGGGAGGAGTGACCAAATGACTGTGTGGTGCTTAGCCATCTGCTGGGTTAAACCATAACTTTTGATTTTTGTTTTTTTTCTTTCCCTAAGGCCTTCTGTAGCCCATACTTTTTAATTGTCTTGCTACAGATGATAAAGGTTGGATTTAAGGGAAATGAAACAGCACAAATGTTCACTATTAAAATCTGGTGTAAGTTAAAATCCTGCTTGAGGAAGCAGATGTCTTGAGTGCTGAGGATGATTCTCATTCCACACATCTTTGTTTCTTTATTTTCAGCAACCAACGTACGTTCAAGCTCTGTTTGATTTTGATCCCCAGGAGGAAGGAGAGTTGGGTTTCCGCCGCGGAGACTTTATCCAAGTCCTTGACAATTCTGACCCCAACTGGTGGAAGGGAGCCTGCCACGGACAGACGGGCATGTTTCCACGCAACTATGTGACCCCAGTGAACCGGAACATCTAGAAATAAATATTACAGATTATTTAAAGAAACAAGAGAAACAGTAATTACACATACAGAGCCTAACTGCAGCCAGTGACCTAAAATCACACGGCGATAAAACCTGAGTCACCTTTCACCGTGAGGTGATCCTCCTTCACAGTGTGGAACTTCAGGGGCTGAAGGGGTTGGGGGGGAGGGAAGAGTTCAACTTACACACCAAAACTTATTAAAAAAGAGAAAAAAACAAATAATGAATTTCCTCAGCTGCTCCTGGGTTACTCCCTTTCATTTACTTAATGTTTCCCCTTGTCCTCTGTCCAGGCATGAAGTTTTAATGCCATTTAAAATTGTAGCCATGCAGTTAAAGGAAAAGGGAGAAACTCTGCTGGTATTTTCTCTCTGCAAATGGTTCATTTGACATGAAGGGACATGAGAGAAAAACCAAATACACAGTCCTGCCTTTAAAAAATAATTTAAAAAGTCTCTGCTCTTGCCTTCAGCATTCAGCTGCTCTTGCCTGAGAAAGATGAGGTATTGCTCTAAGTTTTGTCTCTTCTCCTTTGTCACGTTTTTCTGAAGCTCAGCAGCTTCCAAGTTGAGGAAGGGAGAAGAGTTATGGATTTCTTTTTTTGTTCGAGTCACAGAGTTGCTTTCAGAAACTCCAAATTACAACCGAAGTTTGTTATTGCTGTGCTGATAGCCTTTTTGTTTTTTTCTTAACTGTGTACGGTTGAGCACATTCTGTAATTTTTTCCATAGTGCCTTTCCCTTGTTTTTTAATTATTTTTTAAGTTAAAAGGACAGTCCAGAGCTTTTCAGAGGGCTTTTTTTCTGCCTATGTGTAAATAAATACTTTGGGGTGGAAGGTGTAAAGGAGGGTGGCTTTGTCAATGGATATCTGAAAAAAAATCTACAGAGATGGAGCTTTGTTCTAAAGATTTGACTTGTTCTTTCACTTTCCTTGTTACAGGGGGGGAAAAAAAAGGCATTCCTTGGCAGCTGAGGCTGCTCAAACATGGGAAGCTGAAACCAGAAACCTTGAAAGATTTAAGAGAAAGGGGAAATATATGACCAGGGAAAATGAGGAAGAGTATTTGGGGGAGGGAGGGTTAAGTGGGGAATTTGAGAAAGAGTAGCCCTGAGATGTCCTACAAAATGTACATTCCATTGATGGAAAATTATAATGCAGAAAAACCTCAAGAAACAGTGCTTGAAAACATTTTATGCTATTAGTGAATGTTTCTATGTGATGCATGTAATCAGCCTGTCTCTTTTGCCTGGATAAGGGAGTTATTTGCAGTTATGTTGCTCTTGAAAAGTGGAGTTGGCATCACTGTTCTCCAGTTTCTCTTCCCTCTTCAGGTCGGTGTTGCTGTTAGACTCCCCATTCACAGCAGGCTGTGTGATGACTATAATCCCCACTTTTTCCAATAATGGCCTTCATTGTGGCCATTTGCTCTTTCACCAGAGCAGTGTGACATTGAATTGGATAGAAAGAAATCAAACTGCATTACTCCCTGTGCCAATCTTCAGTTGTGTTATTTTTCCTTTTGAGAGCCATTTGGCTGGGTCCCTTCACTCCAACAACGAATCCAGAAACTGCAGTGGAGAGCTCCTCCTGTCCTGCCTAAGTACAGGCAGTCTTTTGTTGGAGGGTGCCTTTTTTGTACTAAATGTTACGTTTTATTCCTGAGACAAACTCTGCCTTACACTTTAATTTTCCAGCAGTTGAAAGAGAGAGCTATCCTGTAGAGCATTACTTTCTCCCCCTCTCCTTGCTAGCTGTCACTCACTTTCTTCCTTCTTTGTAAAGTGATTGGAAGAAGAATCTATGGCATTCTACACCTGGACCATTTGATTGTTTCCTTATTTTGGAATTGGTGTATATCATGCAACCTTGCAGACATATGTCTTGTGTGTGTATATATATTAAAAAAAAATCAGTGTTTAAATAAAAAAGGCCTATGTACTTAATCCTTTAACTCTGCAGCAGCATTTGGTAGATAGTAATTAACTGTGAATAATAAATATACATTGAATTCTTCACTTGGGCATCTGTCTGTTATTTCATCTGACCAGAATATAGCTGATAAAGCTAATCTGTAGGTGCTCAGACTCACTGGCAACATGATTGGTTCTCAGCATGCTTAGCAAAATTCATTTCTCTTTCAGTCTAAGCCAGCCACAATCCATGTAATTTACACTATTGCAAATAGTAAAGAAAAAGGGGAAAGGAATTTATTGGTTCACTGTCAGGTAGGAAAACAGTGAATCTGTTAGCAGAATTTGGGGTGGCACTTAAACACTTCTTCCCTTTTTTTTTTTTTTTTAGCTCTTCCAGACTTGTGGAGCGTCCCTGTGGTGCTGACTAATGTAGTAAGGAGGCAGTAATGGAGAGTGATATACTAGTTATTTCTGGAGCATCTCGCTGAAGGACAGAGGGAAGGACAAGCTTCTGTAAGAATAGCAGCTACAGCTCAGACTGCCTCGTGAAGGTTAGCTCTGCTTGGTCAGTGCCTTACAGATCACTTTTGTTTTTCTCTTGTTGCCTAAAGCAATGGAAGTGATCGTTCTAATGAGGTGCTCAGTTACCTTTCAGCAGCTGCTACTCTGAATCTGCATCTCCTCCCAGCCTTACGTTCAGATGGTGCCTCTCAGCTAGGCACTGGGTTTTAAAATAGAAAACATCTGCTGATTAAACTGTATTGTAACAATTCCTCTTACTTATGCTCAAATGCAGACGTAGTCAAGATGTACCAATGACTCCATTATTTTCCTATTTGTACCACTGAAGTCAATCTTTAAATAAATGTGCAGCATGGGTTGTACCTTTGGCACTTCTATTTTACAATGCTGAAGCAGGATCTGTGGCTCAAAACTGTTACTCGTACTTCGGGCCTCTAGTGAGAAGTCGAGCAAAGCTTTCTTTCCATCTGATTTAAGGAGGAAAGAAAAATGTTTGTTGCTACTGTGATTGTGCGTAGGGAAGAGTTATTTTCCACCATGGCTGCCCCAGATGCCAAAAACGCTGTCAGTACAAAAGCCCGGTATCCCAGCTACCTTTATGGCGGCCCCTGCGCGGCCGCATTCTCGTGCTGCCCGCTCTGCGCGGCCCTTGCTCTCGAACCGAAGCGCGCGCTGCTGCTGGGGGCGCTGTGGGACTACAACTCCCAGCGTGCCCCCGCGGTGCGCAGGCGCAGTACGGCGGCCAACGCCGGCCTGGGCCCGGCGCGCCTGCGGCCAACGGCTGCGGTCGGATCTACGTCCCGCGCTGCTCCGGCGTACGATACAGGGCCCGTGGAGCGAGGAGAGGCTGTTTTGGGACGAGGGGGTGTCCGCTGGGCCCCCGGCCTGAAGAAGGGATGGGAGGGTGGTGAGGGTGTGGGGCTCTTGGCGTGAGCTGTGGTTTTGGTGTGGCGGTTCGGGGCCACAGGGCCCCGGCGCGGGAAAGCGGGGCTCCTACTGACGCTGCAGTGACAGCAGGCAGGCATGGTCGGCTATGACCCAGAGGCAAAGTGCGTCTCCACGGTGGAAGCAGCTGCAGCAGGGTCAGCATCAGGCTTCGTCACTCGGGTGCTGATCAGCCCTTTGGACGTCATCAAGATCCGCTTTCAGGTACCTGACTTGCTCGGGGACACGTCTGTCACAGAGCAGAGCTCGCTGTCCTGGGTGAGCGGGTCACCTCACAGCCAGAGCGTGATAAATTGCTGCCGGCCTTGGTGGATGCTGCACGCGATTCGAGGCAGTAGGACTAACCTGAAGCCAGCACTCCTCTTTGTGTAACATGTATGCTTGAATGGCATCTTGTGTTTTTCATAGTTTGTTCTCTTTCCCTCATTTTCTAAACAATCTCGCTTAATTGAGCTTCTCTATCCTTATTGGCTACTTTAATGTGATATGCGTGTTCTTGTTCTTTAGAGTCCTTAATAGAAAGTATCCCGGTTAGTTCTACATGCGATTTTGAGGGAACACAGAATGTCTTCACTCAGCTTTGGTTGCAATTGGGGTTGTGAATTTCTGCATGGGACACTTGAACCTTGTTGAAACATGATGTGGAATTGAAAATATTTTCTGTTTTCCCCCAGCTTCAAATTGAGCGGCTCTCCTTCAAAACTCCAGGGGCTAAATATCATGGCATCTTGCAGGCTGCACGGCGCATATTCCAGGAGGAGGGGATGCTAGCCTTCTGGAAGGGTCACGTTCCTGCACAGCTCCTTTCAGTTGGCTATGGAGCTGTTCAGGTAAGATGACACTAAATGGGCCTAGTGTTTGTATAGACATTTTTTCTCTTCAGAATGATAGAATGAGCTGATGCAGAAAGGTCCAAGTTAATGGGACTGATTCAAGGCAACTCCAGTCTCAAATATGTGTAGCTAAATAAAGTTGGTGTCTAGTTCCTAAGTTAGCAACATATTTCATGATCTCTGGTTGAAAAAGTAATGGGCAACATGTATGTAACATAGTAAACAATTTTCAGTATATATACAGAGCCTTAAAATATGTTTTTTGCAGTTCTAAATGCAAAATGTACAGGAAATATCAGAGATCACAATACGCCAAGCATTCTTCAGGCTGCTCAGTGATTTTTACAAGGCATTCTTTGAGCATGTGCTCCAGTAGGTTGCAAATTGAAGAGCTTTTGAAGGATAGAGAGAGGAGGTGGTTGTAAGCTGTGGGTGGAGCTCTTAGTAAAATGAAAGAGTGGGAGATCTGCATCAGTGATAAGAAATGACTCCTTGACCTCTGCATGTTTGTTTCTGCAAGTTCATGGCATTTGAAAGCTTGACCAAACTGGTGCACAACGTCACCTCATACAATGCCCGCAATTCCTTTGTGCACTTCATCTGTGGTGGACTATCAGCTTGCACAGCCACTGTTGCAGTTCAGCCTGTTGACACACTACGTACTCGTTTTGCTGCTCAGGGTGAGCCTAAGGTATGGTTAAGGATTTGATGTTTGGAATTATAAGCCATAGCAGCAGCAATATTTCATTTCTGCGAATACAGGATGTTTGAAACAGTCTGTGCTAACAGTGGGTCAGCATAAAGGAGCAGCTGCTGTTACTGGGCAATGTTTGTGTTGCAGCCAGGGCATCCTCTATACTGTTGATGTAGCTTTTTTAATTATGTTTTGCTGATCCTGTTTTTGTTTGACTTCTGACGGGTGATCCAGAAAGGTAAAGTTGTCCTTACAAGGATAACTCAATTTTCATTTTGGCTATTGGTCAGTTAGAGAAAATAATTCTTAGTCTGTGGTACATTATGTGTTTGAAACTTTCGGCTTACATGGAGTGAAGTTTAAGTGGTGATGAAGATGATACTTGATGCCTTTTACCTGTGTTTCTTAATCTTACTTATGCAAGAGTCGATCTCCATGCTGATTAGGTCTGTAATAATTAGACATATATGAATTTATATTGAAACCATTTCTGGTTTTTGTTTTATCTTGCAGTAGAATCACAGTATGTATTATTTGAATTCTTTTGCAGGAGCAAGCAGAGCTGTTAAATAGCAAATTAAATAATTACATCAATGCTTCAAGTGGTCTCAATCCACAACTCAGCCCTGTGCCTCATTTGTTTCCCTCACAGCTTGGATGTGGGATTCATTGTCAGCCCAGGCTCTAGTGCAGACCTAACAATCTGTTCATTCAATTAGTCTCAATTAGTCATAGGTTTAAGTTGTCAGCTCACTTATAAGAGCCACAAGGATTTAGCTGAGAATACTGCATGAAGATATACGAAATCATTTTGTTCATTGCTCTGTGCTGAAAATCAGTCAGTTGTATTTTAGGCAAAGGGAAATTCTTATACTCTTTACTTAGAAATCCTGACCTTTGATTTTGCTGTTTCTAAGCCTCTTTCACTGGCAAGTCAATGTCTTCTGTACTGTCTAGATCTATCAAAACCTTCACCATGCAGTGGTGACCATGTACCAGACAGAAGGGCCTCGGGCTTTCTATAGAGGTCTGACCCCTACAATCATTGCTGTCTTCCCATACGCCGGTTTCCAATTCTCGTTCTACAATATTCTGCAACAGTTTTCAGAACGGATGATTCCAGATGAAGGAAAAGAAGGAGGTAAGCACTTAAGATAGTTAAGTCTGTGATATTAAAAGAAAGTGATGGTAAATATTGTTTTGGGGGACTGACATAAGCTCAGTATTCATTCCTATCAACTTTTGGTATGCAACCTCTTAAAAGCATCTAAATTCCCCATCTCATTCATAACCATGCAGGGATACTCCAGACGTATGTGGAATGAAGTTTTCAAGCACCTCATGTTTTTGAATGGTCATGAAGGAAGTGTAACTAGATGGGAGAGTGAAGTGTCAGCAGCCCAAGGTGCTTTTTCTTGAGCTGGTGACTGTTTCATTTGTGCATTGCCACTTGGCAGGTCAAAATCATAAATTAATGTAATCAGTCAAGGTGAGCTGTTACGCTCTGGCTCCAGTGGGCATTGTGAGCCCAGTGTGGAATAATATAGATTGAGGTTCAGTGGTCCAAACTATGCAGAAAAGATGGTGTAACTTCAAAGTCTTTCTGGCCTTCCTTCTTTTAAAAAGCGGGTTTAATTTACTCTTAATAACTTTTCAATCTGAGGTCACTGCTAATCCTCTTTTCTCCCTCTTTGCTGTGTTTTCCTCTTTCTGCTCCTCAGGTAATGTTAAAAACCTTGTTTGTGGCAGCTGTGCTGGAATCATCAGTAAAACCCTCACTTACCCTTTTGACCTGATTAAAAAACGACTGCAAGTGGGTGGCTTTGAGCATGCCCGAGCAGCCTTTGGGCAGGTAAGAAATGTTTGAATTCTGTTTTTCATACATCTGGATTCACATCAAGACAGTCCAGAGCCCATTCATCACTGGAGTGATGATTCATTAGAAGTACTTGTTGTCTTTGTATATGGGTTGGCAACTTTCCAGCTTCTGTGAGCTAAGCATTGTTCTCACTTAATACTGGGAATAGCTGCTTGAATAAATTGGATTATTTTATTATATTGTCCAGCATACCTGTGTTCTGCCTTGTCATCCATCTTCATCAGCTAGGCTGTCTTGGAGCTGAGGATGAGTTATAAAAACAAAGGGGTTTTAATTTCCTTTATTCTTCCACTTGCCATCTCTTTTTGTGATTTGGAACCAAATAGTTGACCGAGAATTATGCTAGCTTTATGCTGGGATCACCTGTCTCTCAGGATCATTTTCTGAAATTAATGTTTTGCTGCATGGAATGGGAACAAAGTATTCAAAGTATACAACGCATACATCTTATGTACCAGAATGTCCTGAAATTCAAAGCAAATTAAATGCTTCTGGCATTCCTAATCACTGCTCATCACACCTGGAAATATGCTTTAAATCAACTACAGATCTTTCAAGAAACTATCTATGTTTTTCCCTGTTTTTTCCTTCAAATTCCCTGTGTCTGAAAAGCAAATCAGTCTATATTTGAAGAAACTCTTGAAATCCTAACTTATTACACTCGTTTCTTTTCTTCCAGTGAGGTACAGTGTTTGTTCTTAGCATTGATGTGTCACAATGTTAAACCTTCGTGGTATGATATGATGACATGCAGATAGCTAATTTATAGACTTCTAAGTGCTGTAGCTGTGTTTTTCTTCTGTCAGAGAACTGAGAAGTTGTCCCTTCTTAGAGAGTGAAGGAGATGGAAACCAATAGCAGCACAATCTGAAATAAGTGTTTCACAAACTCGCACCATAAATAATGCATGCCATTGTAGCATAAAGATTTTATGGACCTTCAGTTAAAACAATCTACTTAAGCCATTGCTGATGCAAAATATATACTTTCCTTCTGCCAGCACTCTTAACAAACTGATTCTCTGAAACTTTCAGTTATTTATAATAAAAGAAAAGCATCTCTAGCCTGCATGTCTAGATTATGTTTTTCTGTGCTATAATCTGGGACTTTCCAAGATTGGGGCTTTTCCAAGAAGGCTGTCCTGGATTTCTTTTTTTAACCTTGTTGCCATTCTTTCCCAGGTGCGGATATATAGGGGTCTGCTGGACTGCATAAGGCAGATCATGCGAGAGGAGGGCCCGGGTGGATTCTTTAAGGGCCTTTCACCCAGCTTGCTGAAGGCTGCTGTCTCTACTGGTCTCATCTTCTTTACTTATGAGCTGTTCTGCAGCCTGCTGTGTGCCCTGAAGAGTGCTGACAGCTCTAAGAGGAAGGGAGGCTGAAAGGGGCATGTGTTTTGTCTACCTAGTCTATCTAGTGTTCTCCTGCAGGAGGGAAACTGAAGGCTTTGCTCTGTCTTTATCATATTGGAAATGTCAGAGCACCCAGAACTCCACTAGCCCATGGGAAATGATGTCCTGTGTCCAAGCAGGAGATGAAGGTGACTGCGGTTCTGCTACATGCACTGAATTGCTTTACTGGAAGCTGTTACAGAGAGCAATTCTTCGTTCTGTCTCCCCTGATATCAGTATGCGTTTAGTGAGGAGGGGAACCAAGCATACAACTAACTACCTGGCAGAGACTGTGCTCTGACAAGACACTTGGTAAACTGGGTCAATGCCTGTGCTTGCCCTGGATCACAGACGGGTCCTGGATAGCTGGTGTTGCCTCACCAACATAGCGCCGCTTAACGCTGCATTTGCACAACTTTATTTTCTTCCTTACAGCCTGCTCTTCGCAGCCTGTTCTTTTCTCTGTTGCACAGGCAGCTCCGCACCAGATTGAAAAGACAGTTAAAACCACTTCAGCATACACAGATGCTTGGTTTTTGTTTTCTTTGCTGCTGGTTGTTTTTTCTCGATTACAGCTCACTGGCTGTGCAAGTTGTAAACACAGCATCTTTTAGTGGATCATGCTAACTCAAGCTTGTTCTCCCTTTAACTCTGGTCAGCTTGATTGTATCTTAAGTGCCAATTTCTCTTCTGGAATGTCTTTTCTCTCAAGATTTTGCATTGCCTCAGTTGTGCTTTTTACAAATAAACCCAAAGGAGAAGAATCCCACTCTGTGAAGTTTCAACGCACAAGCCCAATTCTTACTTCATAGTTTTTTGTTTCTCTGCTGCATTGCAGTGAGTGAATAAGTGCTGTGTAGATTTAAATTAGACTATGTTGGAACAGTGAAGGAAAGTCCAGTGGAAACTATACTAGAGTCTTTTTTTAATAACAGTTTCCTGTGGCATTTTTACAATAATCAGGGTGTTAATCCCAAATGGTCTGGTCAAATTCCAGCATGACCAATTCCATTCTGCTGACATGAGCTTCTCAAGCAATGCTGATTGCGTATCAGTGTTACTTATCCTGAGCTATCGTGAGAGGCTCTTTTTAAAAAGCTGCTGTTTCACTGGTGGATGAGATATCCAGTGAAATTCTTACTGCAGATGATTTTGAGAGCTATTTAAAATTTGATTCACTGTGCGTTGTCAGATAGGAGGCTGATATATGAGCCTCTGACAGGGAGTTTTAAATGCATGCACTAAGAAAATGGACATGAAAATACTGACAAGTTTTCTCAGAGTTCCTCAATCCCACTGGCATTTTCCTTTGTTACATAGGCTCTAATGAGATCTCCTCAAAATGTGCTTAAAAATATTTTGCCTTTGTTTATTGTTTATCTGTTATTCTTGGAAGACCATAATGACTTGGAGTACATCAAAACCAGTAGTGAACTGAGCCTCGTGAGATCCTTCTGAGGCAGGGAAATACTTTATTTCAAAACAGGCATAAACAGGTTGGGGTTGTTACTGTTTTTTGGCTACTGGTAGAGAGGAACGCTGTAGCAAGGACAGGACTGACTATAGCAGTCTCCATGCTGACTTAGACCTCCATACCCCCATAGAAAATCTGGAGCCATATGTCCTATTTAAACATTACAAGACTCTTGTTTTCTGTGAAAGAGTGATGTTCAGCTGCACACAATAGAGGTAAACTGGGTAGTAACTCAGCAGTGAGAAATGTAAGCTCTGGAACAGAGGATGATTTTCTTTGGTTGTCACAGGGGCAAAGAATAAAGAGCACAGAACTGTTAAGATTACGTCCCTTGAGTGTGCTGTGAGGCTTGAGGTCATTCAGGCAAACTGCTTTAGGGTGTGTACTGCTTGCCTGCTCCATGGAAGGGGCAGCGATGGAGAGTATAAGGCAGCCTCTTCTCCCTGGGATAGATTTCCTCCACAATGCATGACTTGCTTCCAGCAGGTGTCAGTGTTTAAGTTACGCCAGTCCAGCCTGGGCTCTGTAAGAGGCTCTCCTTGGGCAGAGCTTTGGCATGCGACCTGTTTTATAGATCCGTTATGGAGGCCGTTAGGCATAAATGTTAGAGGCTCATTAAGGCAGCTGATCTTTCAGTGAGTGGAGGAGAAAGAGGTGACAACCTCAACTGTAGAATATTGGAAGTTGCACCTAAGCATTGCTTTGGTCAGCAGCATCTGTCCATGAGGAGTTTGGGATGTGCACTTGGCAGACTGGGAGTTGCTGTTGGGGAACCACTATAGCGGCAGTGTTGCTTTAGGGAGTGAGAGTGGTGTAATGCAAAGAACAGGGCAGTAGCTCTTCTTTCTGACGCTGCCCTAGCAAAAGCCACAAACACCATTCGAAACAAAATTTCTAGAACTGGAAGAGTGGGAGACAGGAGATAGCTTAGTCCCCTGGTTCTTCTGTACAATAGAACAGATTTTCTCTTAGAAGCTTTGCAGTTCAGTGCAGATCCAAGTGAACCCTGTGGTGGTGACTTGCTGTGAGACCACCAGAGTCCAAATGTTGGGATAGCTGGGATTCACTGACATAACCCTGTCAGTAGGGATTTGTGTTGCCTGAAATTCACCTCTCAAGCTGCTCGGCTATTACATTTGTTTTCCTCCAGTGCCTTTTATTGTGCTGATGTCCAAAAGTACTTAGGCAGAGCATTACATCTAGGCTGGATGTGGTTCTTGGTAGCCTGGTCTGGTGGTTGGTGACCCTGCCTGTGGCAGGGCAGTTGAAACAGGATGATCGTTGTGGTCCTTTTCAACCCAGGCCATTCTATGATTGTGCGATTGCACAAATCACACTGTGGTAATGGGAGTCCACTATACCTGCCTGAGATGGGAGAACCCTCATGCACAAATTCTGTGATGAATGCACTGTTTCCTTTAGCACTGACTGTCTCTTTGAGCTCCTAGATGGTTGTATGGATGCTCATCCAGCAGCATCATCTTTAAAAATAAATGAATGTTTTACAGTTGGTTCTGGAATTGATTGTTTTTAATTTGCATTTAAACTGTTATTGTGATGCAGAACAATAATCCTCTGTTGTCTGAGCAGATCTTTTGCAACTGCTGTCATCTGAAAGCATCTGAGCACAAAGTGCTTAAAGCATGCAGCTACCTTTATAAAGACAAGACATTAAATACTTTGTTGTGCTCCTGTCGGCTGCAGTTTCTCATTCCTTCCCTTCTAGTCAGTATGTGCAGTTGGACCCTGCAGGACTGCTGGGGCAGGAGCTGCTCCCTGGGAGCTTCAGCAGGCAGAGCTGTGCCATCCTCTCTGCATTGAGTATCGTTGGGATCTGCACAGAACAGTCGCAGCCACGGCTTTGTCTTGAGCCACAAATCCACGGTGAAGGATTTCAGGCTTTCTATTCAGCCAGGCCACACAGTGCTGCAGAAAATGTTACAAACTGCTCATTCTGCATTTCCTGTGGCTGTTCTCCATTTCCAGCGTTCTGGCTGCACTGCTGTCCAGTAAAAGCTGCAGTAGCTTCAAGCCCTAAGTGTTCTTCCCGACCTGTGAGAAAAAACGTGAAGTATGAGTTACACTGCATTCAGCAAGCGCTTGAAAAGCGTGAGGTGTTTAATCTCCTTTTCCATGAATTTTCACACTAATTTTTATACTCGGCAGCAAGCAGCACCGCAGCAGGGGCTCGGAGCCGCTCTGCTGTAGCCCACCCTGAACGGGGAATAAGCACGAATCTCACCGCAGCTCGGCGAGACGCGGCGGGACCGAGGTAAGCGCGGCCCTCGCAGCCCCGCGAGGGGGTGGGGGAATCTCGGGGGCGGTGGCAGCGCTCGGGGGCTTCCCGGGGAGGAGCGGTGCCGACCCCGCCCCGCCGCGGCCCTGCGCTGCCGGCTGTGGCGCTGCAGCCGCTCGCCCGGCCCGGCCCTCGCCCTGCCCTCTCCCGCCCTTCCCCGTGTCGGCCGAGGAAATGACCTAAGAGGAAACCCGGGGCGGCGTCGGCGCGGCGTGTCCGGGGCGGCGCGGTGATGGCGCTGCGTTCCGCGGTCCGCCCTGCGCAGCCTCGGAGGCTGGAGGAGCAGGGGCGGCCCGGCAGGTCGGTGCGGCCGCGCCCGGTCCCCCCCCCGCCCTGCAGGGGCTCCCCGGGACCGTCCAACCCCGTTCTGTCCCCGGGGCCGCTGGGCCTGAGTGAGGGTTGGGAGTCCGGCGACTAGGAGGTGTGGGGACTGGGTGACGCTGGGCGCCCTCGGACGGCCGCGGGTGATGCTCAGTGGTGGGAAAGGAGGCTCGCTGCTCTTCTGCCCGTCCCTGTGCTGGTTCACGCCCGGCAGCGTGCCGGTCCCCGGAAGATCGGGAGTGCTCATCCCAACCACGTCCCTCTCCAGATTGCACCGAGATGGCTTATCACGGGGTGGTTTCGGTAGGATGTTGGGAGATGACTGTGCCGGGCTCACTCAGCGCCTAGAGGCAGGCAGCCCGAGCGGCACGATCTCACGCCGCTTTTATGCTCGCGCCTTTCGGTTGCTCTGGGCAGGGTTACCTGGCACTGCACGAAGTGGCCGTTCGGGTCCCCGGGGATCCCGTGGACGCTCCCGGGGAGGCGGTGGGCGGTGACGGCACAGACGCTGCCAGACAGCTCGGATTTGTGCTGCCTCGCCGCCCTGCCACGCTTTGGCTGCGTTTTTGCCACGCGCTGCTGTCAGCAGGACGCGGGCCTGCCGCTGAGCTCAGGCTGCCGTGAAGAGCGGTTTGAGTGCAGCAACACAGAGAGCTGTGCAAAAAGGGGCAGCTTAGATTGGAAAGGGTCTTCCTGCTGGACACGGCGTAGGGGTGCCCAGCCGCTTGTGAATCCACCTGTGAAGGAAACTTTAGTGCAGTCTGGAGGTAAGTGATGTATGCAGAGGAGAGCTGTGAGTGCTGTTGGTTTGAGGCAGCCCCCATGGGGCGGGGTCTGCCCTGGGCCTCCCTGAAAGGCAGCAAGGAGGGCAGACCTGGGCCTCTTCTGTGCCAGCAAGCTTTGCCGTCTGCGGCCGGTTGTTAATGTGTTGTGCCATAGCTTCGTGGGAAGGAGAGCATCCGCGGGTCAGGCTGTTTGTGATCCGTCGATGTGCCCCTAAAGGGCAAAGAGTTCTTCAGCTTTAATTGTGGCAGGGACCTTTTGCACAGAGCAGTGAGTAACAGATGAGGAATTTCAAAGAGCTGGCAAAACTAATTTGTTGAATTGCCTTCTCCCTGTTTGTGCTGCAGGTCCGGCAGCCTGGCATTTTTCATCCAGCAGATTGTCTTGTGTGTGTCAGAGGAAACCTTTCCTCTGTGCTGTGTGTACCCTCTTGCCATCTTTGCTGTCTCACAAACCAGCAAAAAATTAATCTAGGGATACTTCAATACTGCAGAGAGCTGCAAAAGGGTGAGATAGAAGCCGTGCTGGAATTTGGCTGAACATTTTCCTGTGTTCTGCTGTGTTTTGGGAGTTGAAGGGACCTGGATCTGTTGCAGGAGGAGAGTATGGATTGGATTGCTTAGGTGTTTTGAATCTTCCCAGGCTTTGTGTGAAATAATCTGAATTACTGTTTCAAAGCCACAAGAGAGTGGCTGCATGGAGTGCTCCTGCATACGTACTTCTCCATGGTGTAACCATAGGGATGCCTTCTGGATGAAGACGGTTATTTTGGGGAGATTGATTTGGTGTGCTGTCCTGCTTAAACCTGCAAATCAATTGACTGATTTTCACATCAGAAGAATGTAAGATGCAGCCCAAAAGTTCCTTGTCATAGACTAGTAGGAAGCAAGGCTTAAAAAAACATGGGAGTTGGTCTTTGCCCAGACTTAGGGCTGGAGCTGGATGCTGTATTAACAGGATATTTCTTACTATCTGGAGGGCTGTCAAGGTAGAAGTCTGGGCTCCAGGACTGGATGGGATTTGCCACATGGCTAGGTGGAGGTCTGGGCTCTCTGGCCAACTAAGTCCTGTTTGCTCTTTTCACAGGGGCTGCTGCTAGCACATCTGTTCCCCTGATTCTTGCTGTTGGAGGAAGCCAGTCATGGGGGAAACAGGCAAAGAAGAGTATAAAATACAGTCATTTGACATTGAAACTCAGAAGCTGCTGAAAACAGCACTCAAAGGTCAGCAGGCTTTTTCTAGCTTTTCTGCCACACTCAGCTTGGCTCACTGGTGTAGCTAGATACTTGGGCCCCTTCTGCTGTCACCAATTGCTAAGCCTAGAAAAGCTGTTTTGTAAATGCTGTTGATACAGAACTGAATCCCTCCAGGAGGATCTTCGTCCCCTGCCTCTTCTCCCCCACCTCTACCTTACTGTTGAATCGTGCAGCTAGCTGTTCCAGGTTCTCAGAGGACCATGCTCATCATAGTGCTTTTCTCTCATCAGTGCCTTCTTCTCCTGTTCTCACTCAGCACCTCTCTTCAGATCTTGCCCTTCGCTCTTCTCCCTGTGCCCAGTTTCTGCACCCTGTCCCCTGGTATCTCCTGCTCACAGGTCATGTCTCTATTCAAAGCCCAGTGGGAATTCGCTTGCCTGTCTGCCACTAGCCAAACTTCAAAGCAGTGCTGGGACTTCAGATACAGATCAACTTCTTGCCTCCCTTCATTACCATGCTCTTCTCCATCACTTTTCCATCTTTATGGTTGTGTATCCAGCCTGGAAAGAAAGTGCAGTTGTTGGACGTGGTATGCCCAAAGCAGCTGGTTTGCAAGAGGGACTCTGGGAGTGAGCATGAGTTTTTGTACCATATGACATGGTTGTACGGTACTCCATGCCAACCTTGGTTGCTTCCCAGATATCTTGGAGCAAGCAGGGCACAAGAAATATTGGATCCAGACAGTATTTCTCCTCTCTACAGACCCCAGCAATGTGGACCTGGACAAAGTGGCCAATGTTATAGTTGACCAGTCCCTCAAAGACTGTGTGTTCAGCAAGGAGGCAGGGCGCATCTGCTACACCATCATCCAGGTAAGAGATATTTGTGTCTGGACAGGAAAATGCTGCTAACCTATGCTAGGCCGGGACTACTTCTAGCCTGCACTCTGACTCTCCAGCTAGCATCTCTCTTCTTCCACTTGGCCCCTGCACTGGCAGGATACAGATGTGCAGCTGGCGGGTGCAGACAGCTGCAGCCTTCCTATGTGCATCACAGGAGGGTATCAGGATGGTTCTGCAACATCCAAATCCCAATCCTCCCTGCCCCTCTCTGCTCCAGTTTCATCCCTCCATCCTGCTTTTGTGGGGTCTTAGGCAGAGAGCAAACAGGTCGGCCAGAGCATCTTCCGGAGGAGCCTGCTGAACCGGCTGCAGCAGGAGTACAAGGACAGAGAGGATTTGCGCAACCGGTCACTGCAGGCATGGATCTGCTACGTCACATTCATCTGCAACATCTTTGACTACCTGAAGGTAAGGAGCCAGAGCAGGAGTACCTGGGTGATGCTGAAGGGTACCAGAAGGGCCCCCGGTTCAGGGCAGAAGTTTTGAATGTGTGTTACAACACCCCAGGGCCACAGCTCAGCAGAGTGGGACCAAAGCCAGTTCTCAGAATGAGGATGCTCCCAGGTTATTGCTACATACGAGCAAGTAATCAGCCTTGAAGAGGCAGAGATGGCTTTGAGGACAGTCACAAAGTCTGAGCTACTGTGTTTCGTACCTGGTGTTTGAAATCCCCTGATTTAACCTGTTCTGAATATCCTAGGTCAAACCAGTTGCTGTTAAGTCCGAGGGTAACTGCATTTTGTTTAGTCACTTAGGTGCTCAAATAATTTCTAACCCACATACTAATGGAATGTCTGCAAGCCTTTGCTGCAGTGTGTGTATTTAGATGCCTGCTTGGTGTGGATGTAAAAGTGATGCAGTTCCTGCAGGCAGGAAGAATGCCGATACAAGAAGTGTATTTCCCATGATTATCAGTTTACATTTAAAAATAGATGTTTCCTCATCACTTGTTGAGTTTCTGTGGCTGTTGGAGAGTCAAAAGTCTGGTTTTCTCTGTAAATAACACCATTGCTGCATTTGGCAGCACAGTTTTCTCCCTTCTTTGAAATGCAGCAAGAGAAGAATTATTTAAAATAGCTGAAGGCTCTTCCCCTTCTGCCACCAAGCTGACAATAGCTCCTGCCTCCTTACAGGTGAACAACATGCCCATGATGGCTTTGGTGAACCCTGTTTACGACTGTCTGTTCCGACTAGCACAGCATGATAGCCTACAGAAGGAAGAAGAGGTGAGGAGGGTTGGTCATGTGCCCTTTGTTCAGTCAAGGACAAGCAAAAAGCACAGCCCTGGGGGGTGAAGAGAGCTTTACGGCCAGGCAGGAGCCTTCCTCCCCATCATGTGCTGGAAGGAAACCTACTGGACAGGAGGGCTTGCACTCCAGAAGGAAGCAGGATAGAGGTGCTAATTGTGACTCCCTTGCCCATGCTATACATCCTTCCCTTGCATAGCTTTTTTTTCCCTGTTGCCTATGTCATTACTGGCTGAAGACTGCTGCAGAGACCCAGCAGCACAGCCAATCCTTGAGATAAGGAATGTCTAGCATTCTGCAAGTTCATCTCCCGTCATACAAGAAAAATGTAACTACTCTCTCCTATTTTCACAGAAAGCAGCTGCTTTTCTGGCAACTCTAGTTGCTGGACATCTGGAAAAGTAGCTGTCACACTGATCTACTGGGGCACTGTAGCCATGGGAGGTGATGGCAGACACTGCAGTGGCTGCATGCCTACAGAGTGTTTGTGTGTGTCCTGCAGGTCTCAGTGACATGCACAATGCTTTGTGTAGCTGCTACTCATCTGTCTGGGCTTGCAGAGCTGATGCTGTGCCAAATGCCAGCAGGCTCCAGGCTCTTCTGGAATTGCAGCTTTATGTGTGTCTGGTCAGCATATAAAGGTGCAGAAACATGCTCAGGGCATGTTTGAGCTGCCCGTGGATTACTGTAAAGTGCATAAGCCCTTGGATGGAGCCTTTCGTTGTTTTTTTTTTCCTCATCTCAGCACAAATCTCCCACCCCTGTGATTCATTGACTTACCCCTCCTATCCAGAGATTCAGTCAGTGCCCGTTTCCTGTAAATCTCCTAACTTTCTAGGATTTTTAGAACATGTTCCACCTATTTCCCTCTGTTCTTACTCCAGCTTCTGCCTTCAGTCTTGCCAACTTGTTGTGGGCATCCTGCAGAAAGGTAAAACTGTTTCGTCTGTTAATGGTTCATTTTTCTGGCAATTTTGCTCACAAGGTAGGGGAGTTCAGGATGCGTTTTCCCAGCACTTTCCATTCAGCCTCCTGAATCACAGCAACTTGAGGGAACAGAACTGTCACCTCTTCAAAATTCAGAGCAGAAGGAGCAGTATGAGTTGATCCAGAAGTGACTGATGGGACCTCCACTGATATGCCAGAGTTCTCAATTCCTTTGTACTCAACCACCTCCTTCTCTTCTTTCTGAAGGTGGACTGCTTGGTTCTACAGCTCCACCGCATTGGCGAACAGCTAGAGAAGATGAACTCCCAGCGGATGGATGAGCTTTTCTCACTCCTTCGAGATGGCTTCCTTTTACAGGAGGGGCTCAGCTCCCTGTCGCAGCTCCTGCTGCTGGAGATCATTGAGTTCCGGGCTGCTGACTGGAAGATGACGGATGCTGCCCAGAAATATTATTATAGTGAAGTGACAGATTAACCCCTCTACAGAGAGGTGGAGAGGTGTCCACAGCACTTTCACCAGCAAGCTTCATACCAAGTTTTAATTTCTTTTCTTTTTTTAAGCACTTCCTGTAAATAGGATTTATACTAGCTAGAGCCTCTGGGTATATAACTGTCATCTATCAGTCTGTGACTGGTGCTAGCCTGATTTTGGATATTTAGATAGGGGGGCACATTGAAACCAGCAAGTTCTTCCACTCATTTTGTTTAATGATGGGCTGCTGCCAGCAGAACGCAAGGAAGACTTGTAGCTTAAACCAGCATTTTATACAAGTGTTAAGGAAAGCTGAGAGCATGCTGGTTGACCCAAGAGCCAACACTGCTGAGGGAGGCAAAAGGGAAATATTTCACAGCTCACAGTTTCAAACCAGGTTGTTTCGGAAAAGTTACAGAAAATACTGTGGTCAGATACATCACAAATAGCTCACCAAATTGCTGCTTTTCACTGATTACTTCCAGCAGACTGGCAGTATCTGCAGGGGTGTATGACTATGGGTTATTAGCTACCAATATCTGCTGGCAGCTTCCAGCAGGATAAGGGTTCTCAAGCACATGTAGCTAGAAACAAGTTTTATACAATAACTGTTCTGGGTTTTTTCAAAATCTATTAAGGTTTGAGTATGTTATGTTTCTTATGAGAATAAGAATGGGAAAGGAAGAAAGAAAGAAAACAAAATAGTCTATTGGGTGTTTTTTGTAATAAAACTTTTCCACTAACATGTGCCCTGCTTTCTCTCTGAGCAGCTGTTAAGAATGTAAGCAATGCTTAAAAGTTGCTCCTGACTGAGGCAAGAAGGTTGTGATATTAATTATTTCCTCAAGAATAGAGTGACAGAGGGGAGGGGGTTCACACAACCAGAGAAGCTGGAAAGAACAGTGTGAGATTGAAGCAACAGACAAAGGTCTGGAATCGAGAAACCTTCCCCATAAAGCATTGATATTATTTTTTTCCTGTTAACATCTCCCTGACATCCATACAGACAATGTTGCTGATGACTAGAACTGAAAGTCAAGGCTAGTTATGGTAAGGAAAAAAAACCTCCAGATCTGCTCTTTCCTATTTATGCAGCCAGAAAGAGAAAAATGTTGCTGCAAGAGCAGAGATTTAAAAGTCCCTAGGAAACATGTAAGTGGAATAGATTATTTTGTACAGTGTTGCATCTAAAGCTTGTCTTCACAGGAAAGCGGTTATGAAAAACTAGCATATCCGTGCAAGGATCAGTAACTATTTCAGATTCCCCCTTTTCCCATCCAGATAAGCACAAAGCAAATGAACTGTATGGGGACTAGGGAAACTTTCCTTGGCTTAGTTCAGAAGCTGTCCAGAAGGGATTTTCCACCTTTCCCTCTAATCCCCAGCTTCTCTCGAGCAGGTGGCCCTGGGACTCCGCTCCCCAGGCCTGAGAGCAGTGACAGAGCTCTGCAGCGTGTGCGTCCATGCAGAGGCCCTACCACCAGCGGAAGTGGGCATAAGCCCGGTTGGCCTCTGCCATCTTGTGCAGCACATGCTTCTTCTTGATGATGGGTCCTTCGTTGTTGAAGGCCTGGATCAGCTCCTCAGAGAGCTTCTCAGGCATCAGCGTCCGGCGGTGCTTGTTCTCCCTGCACTCAGTGATTAACCACTTCATGGCCAAGAAGCGCTTCCGGTTGTCCTTCAAAGGCACCGGGACCTGGGACACATTTAAACCAGAACAGTTACTGCACAGAGAGGGACAGTTATCTGGTTGATCTCTTCTGCTACAGTGACCCAAGTCAGAGCTCTGGGGCTTCTACTCAAGTGCCATGATGTAGCAAAGAGGGTGGGACTGCTAGCACCAGCATGCTGATTCTTTTGCTGCCTTCCACTGATCTCTGACTCCTTAGGCAATGTTTGCTGCATATCTGTCTTAGTTCCACTGGGACAGAAATCAGGTTTTCTCAAAGTCTTCAGTATGTTTGGCATTAGAAGAAAAATGAAACTGATAACCCACCATTGTTTATACCTAATACTGGGTAGTTCCAAGGACATTCCTGCTCCTCAGCTTCTTGTATTGCTCTGCCAGCAAGGAGACTGAGAAGAGACAGGCCCAGGGCAGCTGATCCAAACTGAACAAAGAGGTATTCCATACCATATGACATCATGCAAATATAGGGGAAGAGTTAGCCAGGCAGAGGCTGCTGCTTGGGGACTGGCTGGGCATTGGTCATTGGGTGGTGAGCAATTGCTTTTGTGTATCACTTGTTTTTGTCTGTATATGTATATACATATACATATATCTATATCAATGTATGTATGTATAAGTACTGTTATTTTCTTTCACTTTTTTTTTTTCCTTAGTAAATAGTCTTCATCTCAACCCACAAATTCCACTGCATTTTGTCCTAATTCTCTCCCCAGTCTCACTGGGGTGGGAAGGGGGGGAGGGTGGGTAAGGAATCATTGTGTGGTACTTTTAGCTATCTGCTGGGTTAAATCACAACAATATCCTACTTCTTATCTAGTCAGAGAAATAGAGTGATGCCTCTAAGGGAATCACAGAATGGCCCGGAGTGGAAGGGACCTCAAGGATCATGAATCTCCAACCCCCCTGCCACATGCAGGGCCACCAACCTCCCTGTTTAGTGGTAGACCAGGCTGCCCAGGGCCCCATTCAATCTGGCCTTGAACACCTCTAGGGACAGGGCATCCTCAACCTCTCTGGGCAGCTGTTCCAGCACCTCACCACTCTCTCATAGTAAAGAACTTCCCCCTGACATCCAACCTAAATCTTCCCTCCCTCAACTTAAAACCATTTCCCCTTGTCGTGCTGTTATCTACCCTTTCAAAGAGTTGATTCCCCTCCTGTTTGTAGGCTCCCTTTAGGTACTGAAAGGCTGCAATGAGTCACCCTGCAGCCTTCTTTTCTCCAGGCTGAACAAGCCCAGCTCCCTCAGCCTGTCTTCCTCAGAAATTACCATGCTCACAGGCCAGAGGTGTAATCCTGGATAGGGTTTTTAGGTGTTGTTTTAATCCAGATTGCAAACTGTTTTTCTTCCTGGGGAAGAGGAATGGCTGAACTGAAGGGGTAGCCACCAGCACATTTGCTTCCCTAGCTAATTCTCCCCTGACCAGATGTGCTGAAGACCCCCTCATTTCACCTGGTAGGTTTTGCCACCTCTCGTGATGTTGCTGAGTCCAATGATAGGCTGGCAGTTTTTCAGAGCCTGGTGGAAAATGACATAAGGGTTGCATTCAACTGTCTCCTTCTCATCATCTGGAGCTCTGTGGTACTTTTCCAGTTGCTTCCTCTTAATGTTCTCTAAAGTCTTGAGAAAAAGTCAAGAAAGGAGATGGGCAGAACAGATGGATTATCCCATGAAATTAGACCACTTTTTCAAGAATTCCATATACATTTGAACCTACAGCTGGTTTTTCAGTCCTACAGGTAACAGGGACATCAGGGATTCTCTTACTCAAATAATTTTACTTCACTTTCTTCCAGATTCTCAGTATCTTCATTAGACATTGCATTTGAGGTGAGGAGGTCAAGTAGCATAACTTGGGACAGGTGCCAAGGGAGGACGGGAAAAAGCAGAGACAGCAATATGGATCTGTGTGCATGAAGCATTTTCCCCTCCAAAGCTTGGTGCTCAGGATCCCACAGCCTATGTAATTAGCAGTTTGGGCAACACATGTCCCCATTTTAAGAGCTGGAACAACACCAACTAATATCAATTATTGTAGGTCAGAGCAGGGGTTGAAAACGTGTCATACAAGTGACACATTTGTGGCCCTTCATTGGAAAGCATACAGAAGATAAGGCTTTAAGAGAGTTAGAAGGAAGAAGCATGAGCACTCACCTGAGCCATGAGGCTTCTGGCCAGCACTTTATTTCCATCCTTCATCATCATATTGGTGAATTTACTGTGAACACAAAGCCCAGTGCAATCTGATTTAAATTCTCAGTTCATCATTTGCAGAAATAAGGGTCCCCACCCTTGTGTTTTTCACATGCTTAAGTCTGGGCGCTGCTAGATCTGCTTAAATTATCTCTAATCATTATCAGTCAATAGACTGGCTTTGTGGGAAAAGATTAACCCAAATAAAGAGATTGTGCTGTTACAGAAAGCAACGTGCAGCAAGCACAGCAAGAAAAGGCCAAGAAGGATAGTCCAGCTCCCAAGTATCTGGCTGCACAGGACCTAGCTGTAACAGAGATGATGCTTCCTCTGACCTGATCATAGGGTCGCTGAAAACGGAGCTGGAGATACTGGGAGGAGCTGCTTTTATGGGACGAACAGCCTTAAGCTCTTGCTTTTCCTTTTCCTCTTCAGACAGCTCATTAAAAGGTTTCTGATACAATTCTTTATTCACTTCTGGCTCTAGAAAGCTGGGGTTGTAGCGACTCCATCTCACCTGTACCAACCTGAAAAGAACAAGATAAGAAGGAAGGTTGTAAATCAACACCTGATATGTTCCAGATGGGAGCAGGACAGCCATGAGAACACATCCCTATCAGATGTGAGAGGTGCCTCCACCTTCATCACTTATTCACTTGCAACAGCAGACTTGTAGACACTAATTAACATACAAGGGCCACACTGCTGCTGCAAAACAATCCCTGCACCACAAACAGCAAACTGAATAGGAGCCTAGCACTGCAGCTCAGGAAGCTGCACGCTGACAATCACTGAGCTGAACAATCACTGAGCTGAACGCTGGAACAAATCAGTGTAACAAAAGCAAAGCACAACGCACCTATCAGGTCAGCACTGCTCTGCAGCAATGGCTGTACCTCACTCCTACTGGAGAGAAAAGTGCTGAGGGCTCACAGCCAGCAGCTGCAATATGTTGGGGTCCAGATTGTTTGCATAAATACATTAGTGATAGTGGGCTGGGGGGGGGGGGGGGGGGGGGAAATGAAGAAGAATATTAGAATAGAATCACAGGTATGTATTTCGCAGCAGGAATCTGCATTTCAGGTATGCTTTGGTGAAGAGCAAAAGCAGTGCAGAAGTACCTATGCCCTGACACAGCTGCACAGTAATCACAGGATCATTAAGGCTGGAAGAAGACCATTAAGATCAGTAAGTCCAACCCCAACCCATCCCCACTGTCATCCATAATTAGTAACCACGTCCCTCAGGACAACATCTCCACGCTTCTTGAACGCCCCCAGGGACAGGGACTCCCCCACTCCCTGGGCAGCCCATTCCAGCACCTGAGCGCCCCCTCAGAGAAGTATTTCCTGACGTCCAACCTGAACCTGGCACAACGTCAGGCCGTCCCGTCCCATCGCTGTTACACGGGAGAAGACGCCGAACTCCACCTCACCACAACCTCCCTGCAGGCACTCGTACAGAGCGATAAGGTCACCCCTGAGCCTCCTCTTCTTCACACGACACGATCCCAGCTCCCTCAGCTTCCCTCCAGAGGATTTCTGTTCCACACCCTCCTCAGCTCTGTTGCCCTTCTCTGGACGCGCTCAGGGCCTCCATGTCTTTGCTGTAGCGAGCGGCCCACCGCTGAGCGCAGTACTCGAGGTGCGGCCTCACCAGCGCTGAGCCGCTGGGATGCTCACGTCCCCGCTGCTGCCGGCCGAGCCGCTTCTCATACAAGCCACGAAGCCATCGCCCTCCTGGGCACCTGCCGCCCGCGTTCAGCCGGCCGTCAGCTCCCACCCCGCAGCCCGCCTGCAGGCAGCCCCGCGCCTCACGCCGCCGTTACCGACATCACCGCACTGAGCGTCGCTCCCGGCCCGGCCGCACTTACCGCGGCAGCCACGCTCGCAGACGCGGGCGCAGCCCCGCCGCCGTGGGCGCCGCCATCTTGTGGAGCGCGCAGGACGGGGGCGGAGGCGGTCCGGCCACGCCTGCAGGAAAGAGAAAAAAAAAAAAAAACCGCTCCAAAAAGCCGCGTTCAGCTCAAAAAGAACATGGAGCGCGAGACGCGGGACGTTTCCTCCCGGTGCCGCGGGCGGCCGCGGGATTCGAACACCGGAAGTTCGGAGTTACCTCGCGCGGCACTGAAGCCCTCCTGACGCAGAGCGGAACGAGGGCGGCCCGGCGGGGAGCGCGCGCTCGGCTCTCGCGCCGGCGGGGCGGGGCGGGGCGGCATCATGGCGGAGGCGGAAGGGGAGAGCTTGGAGTCGTGGCTGAGTGAGTAGCGCGGGCTCGAGCCCTCCAGCCCCTCTTTTCTCCACCCTCTCCCTCTCAGCCCCGTCCTCGCCGCTCCCGGTGCCTTTACTCGGAGGCCGCTTCCCGTCTCCCCCTGCTCTCGCCTCTCCCCCCGCACGGCTCTGTCGGCCCGGCTCCCCCCGGCGGAGCTGCGGCGGTTCCCACGCAAATTGCGTTTCTGCGCTGTACGGCCGTGTTTCCGAGCGGCCCGGCCGCGCTCTGCGCCCGGCAGCGCTGCGGGGGCGGGGAGGAGCTGCGGATGCCCGCCGTGCCCGTGGGAAGGCTGCAGACTGCGGTGTTTAAAAATCCGTTGTTAGGGAAAATGATTTGGTAACGGCGTCGCGCTGTGCGGCTGCAGGGCCCCGCGTGGGCCGGCCGGCCGGGGTTGTCTTGCCGGTGTTCCCGGCGCAGGGCCTGGCGCTGCTGCCTCCGTCCTTTGCCGGTGCCCGCAGTGACGGCGCCGTGCGGCAGCGGGGGCTGCGACTGCCGCGGGACGGGGCGGCGGTTAGGCTCAGTGGCCTTTAATGGTCTTTTCCAGTCTTAGCGATCTTGTGTTTCCCGTAAACGCTTCAGAACGTAAAAGCTGTTGTGGTTTTTGAGCCGTGGTTCTGTTAAGATCCAATAATTCTTGTTCCGTTTTGGTTCGTTTATATGAAATTTAATTCAGTGCGCGGTGTTATCATTTCTTACTGCAGTTATCGGCTACAGGATGTTTTCAGTCTCAGTTCTTGTTTTAGCTCAACGCCTTCTGTCCCCTCGTTGTTCCACTCCTTCTCTGAGCTCCCACAGTTTGTTAATATCTCTTTTTTTAATGGTAGCCAGTGAGACACGTGAAGGAACGCCCACATCCCTTCCCTTTAATCTTCCTCTGAGCAGGACTGACTCACCAAATTCAGTATGTGTATGGAAATATTTGTAGTAGGAAGGATATTTTAGATTGTGCAGCCTGGAAAGCTCTTAGGCTGCTTTTTGTTTTTATTTTTAGTTGTGGAAGTTGAGAGAGAGGATAACATCCTGCTTGTGTGGTCAGTGGAGCTCTGTCACTGGAGAACATGCTGAGGGCAGCACTGCAAAGCACTTCCTCACTGCAAGCACTGTTGCCTGCTTCTGTTTCAGTAACCCATGGTGTTAAACGCTTGAGCATTGCTCTCTCATCTAAGGTGAAACGTTTATGCCTGGTCACTGCTACCATGATTTGTTCTGGTGTGATCGCACAGCTCCTCCCACAGTGAGGAAGTGCAGATTGCTTGTAAATAAATTACCAGAGCAACCGTGCAGATGAGGAGAGCAGGGTGCAGAGGCTGTGCATCTGAGTGCTCTCACTGGGCCTTCTGAGGTTATTTTTTTTGTAACTATCAGTAAGATGTACTGTGTGTAACACTAAACTTGAGGGGTGTGTGCACCTGCTGTGCCCTTCATACAAAGACAGGGCAAGAGCTCTCTGCAGCACAGCAGCTTCCCAGTCACAGGAAGATGCCAAATGCAGTAAAAATGCTATTCAGCCTTCCAGCTGCCCTGTCTTTCTCATGGGGTAGATGCACAAATCCATGAAGTAACATCATCCTTGTGTTCTAGTGCTGCGCTTTGGTCTGCGATTATCTTGCATCTTCATCTTCAGTCTCATTTCAGGCAGTGGGGTGAGTGAAGGTGATCCTTTGTGTTCTATTCCTGCCTGCATGCTCTTTCTTTGCACTAAGTTGAAATAAAAGAGGAGGTTAGAAAACAACATTGGTTGTGTGAGCCCAGCTGGATCCTTTGACTTGAGTGCTGCCTGTTCTGCTCCTTCCTAAAGGAAACTTACTGTATCACATTCATGTCAGGCTTAGGCAGTGCAGGTATATAATAGATGCAGATGGATAACATATTCCAATTTTTTTTTAATTTCTTTTTTCTTTTTTTTTTTCTTCTTGTATTGCCATGGGCCTAGGTTTTAAGTTTTCCACATAAAAATAGAGGATTTTAGATTATTTCTTCATTAACGTAATGCAGCTTCATATGGGGACATGCTGAAAAGGGTAAGCAAGGAAAACTGGCTTGCTTGGGATGCTCCCAGCGCTGGTGAGGCCGCACCTCGAGTACTGCGCTCAGCGGTGGGCCGCTCGCTACAGCAAAGACATGGAGGCCCTGAGCGCGTCCAGAGAAGGGCAACAGAGCTGAGGAGGGTGTGGAACAGAAATCCTCTGGAGGGAAGCTGAGGGAGCTGGGATCGTGTCGTGTGAAGAAGAGGAGGCTCAGGGGTGACCTTATCGCTCTGTACGAGTGCCTGCAGGGAGGTTGTGGTGAGGTGGAGTTCGGCGTCTTCTCCCGTGTAACAGCGATGGGACGGGAGGGAACGGCCTGACGTTGTGCCAGGTTCAGGTTGTGCCAGGTTCAGGTTGGACGTCAGGAAATACTTCTCTGAGGGAGCGCTCAGGTGCTGGAATGGGCTGCCCAGGGAGTGGGGGAGTCCCTGTCCCTGGGGGCGTTCAAGAAGCGTGGAGATGTTGTCCTGAGGGACGTGGTTGAGTGGGGGAATACTGGTGCTAGGTGAATGGTTGGATTGGGTGATCGTGGAGGTATTTTCAAACCTTGGTGATTCTATGAGTCTGTGTTAGTGTGGCTTGTTCTGAGATCAGTGAGCACATCAATAAAGGTATTTGCCATTTGCTGTTTGTGTGCGAGCACATTCATCCTCAGAGCCAGGGCAAAGCTGCTGGTCAGGAAGATTAACTTTTATGAACTGCAGTTACACATGGAGATTTTATGAGTGTTAGAAATCAGGAGCTGCTTTCTGTGGAATGCAGCCTCTCTTGAGCAGTGCCTCCCTCCTGGGAATTTCCTGTCATTATGTGCAAGAAATGAAAAGAATCTGAATCCAATTGAATTGTGCAGAACAATCAAGGATCATTCCAAGAAATCTTTGGAAATGTTTGAACAACTTTGAAATTTGAGCTTGACAGGAAAACATTGCTTACGTTTTCCTATCTTCAGCAGATCCTTCTCCTTATTCTGGGATGCACAACCGACAAAAAGACTTCATTTGCTTGTTTGTGCTCTTCCTGTATTTAATAAACGAATTCTTGTAGCTCCAGCCAAGAGCCGTGCTTCTTTCATCTCGGCCTGCAGAGCAGCAGAACTACTTTAGAACACAATGCTATTTGATTTGCATGAAAATACTTAAGATTGTTGCAAGGCTCTGTTTTTTGCAATGCTTCCAGAGCGCTCTGCAGCTGTGAGTGCTGTAATAAGGTTTAAGTGTCACATGTTTCAAACAATTGCCTGTATTTTATCCTGTGCTCTATACTATTTGGCCAAGTAATGCGTTCTCTTCTGTATCTTTTTGCATTGTATTCAAATTTTGAGAAGTGCTTCTTAAACATTAGCCATTAGGTAGCACAGTGCATTGTTTTTCTTACAGGGAAGAAAAATCTGTGTCTAGTAATCTCATCTGGAAAATCAGATTAACGTGGGAATCTTGTCTGCTGTAAATTCATTGGTCTATCGGAGCCAAGTAAAACTCCTGGAGAAAATGCTTTCATAACAAAAAATGTGCTGATAGCCTCAGGTTTCTGCAGCCAATGCGATATGAGTGATGCTGGTGTTTGAGGGAGGATCTGTCAGTAGCACATCTCACAGTGCAGCATCTCTCTGGGCATCCAGGATTTAAATTCCCTATCAGGCACAGGCAGTGGTGTTCATTACTTGCAAGAACAACTCAATGTATAATAATAAATTTCAATTCATTGTTCCCAGAAGAAATGCTGAGGCATCTAACTGATCAGTGATGCTCTAAAACAAGTGTCTGAGCTAAATGACAGAGATTAAACATCTAATCTGCCAGCTCTTGCTGCTACAAAACTCCCAGGAAATACAGAAACAATTTCCCATATAAAAAATAAAGAGTTTAGCCTCTAAAGAGTTTAATGCTATAACCAAATATCATTTCAGGCAGAGGGAAGTTGTGTGAGTTCGAATATTTTCTTTTATACTCTCATTTACAATATGGAAATTGCATGTTTCAAAGTATTTCATGTTTGGCATCTGTCTTTTTGGAAATCTGATTCTCGATGGTTTTTTGAGTGCCTCAGTTTGGATGTATCCTTTCTCCTGAACAGAAGTAGCATACGTGAACTTTCTATCTTCATTTTATAGTTGGTAACAGATGTCAAAGGCTTTTCTCTAGGAAGTATGTGACCTTTTACACTGTTTCTTTTTTTTCTTGAGCTGTAACTTCTTCTCTTTCCCTTGCCAAAGATAAAGCCACTAACCCATCTAACAGGCAAGAAGACTGGGAATATATCATTGGATTCTGTGACCAGATCAACAAAGAGCTTGAAGGGTGAGTGTCCTGACCCTCTTTAGACTTAGTAATTAAATGTATGCAATTTAGAACATGTCATTTGATCCTTAGAGTTTCATATTGGCCTTCCTATATATACTGATATTGCAGAGGAGATTGGCATCAAAAGAAAAAACGTGCTGCAAAGTTTGCTTTTTCTTATGTGAAGAGCAGCATGGTTTACGTGCAAACTGAGCACTAGGAAAAGTGAATCCCAAATCTGCCTCTTGTCAGCCTCTGCTGCTGCAGGGTTCTCATCCAGCCAAACTTGTCCTAGTTTGCAGTCTGTAAAATGGGGTTATAACTCCTAGTGCTTCACATCATTAAAATCTGTACAGGACTTAACTGAGGAAACCTGGGTCACAGCATTCCTGTGAGCTAAGGAAGATGTTTTCTTCTGGAAAAAGGAAATTAATGCATTGAGTAATGATGTGATTTCCTGGGCTTGGGCACTGTACTTGGGTGTTGTTTGGCCCATCCCAGGGAGGAATCTGGAATTGCTTTCAGACTACCAGCCTTACTTCCTTTTATGCATGCAAACAACCAGGCTTACAGAGATGCCCTGAAGATTTTTTGTTAGCCTAAAAGTACTGAATGATGTTTATTTTAATCATATGAAAAACTTCGCATTTAAACAGCAGTGTTTGTGAA